AGCCCAAAATCCTATTCTAATTGTTAAGGCCCCTAGATTAGGGTGTTGGCTGGGTTTTCTCCCCCGAAACCATCCATAACATAACCCCAAAGCCTAAACCGCTCAGGGATTAGAAGCCGGAAACCCTAAATTAAACCCCTAAAGCCCTAAAGCCCTAAACCCTAAACCCCTAAACCCTTAAACACTAAAGCCGAAGGGTCTCGCAGAGGAACCCCCTACGTCATGACAGCAGCTCCCATCTTCCATGCTACGCGAGGCGCAAAGAGAGCAAGAAAGGTTCCTCCAAGAGGCCGAAGAGGCCAAGAAGAAGGCCGTCATCGGGTGGAGGCTTTAGGATTTAGGGTATAGGGGTATAGGGCTCTAGGGTTTAAGGTTATGGGGTTTGGGGGTATAGGGTTATAGGGTTTAGGGTTAAGGATTGAGGGTTTAGGGTTATAGGGTTTCGGGTTTAGGATTGAGGGCTTAGGGTTTTGGTTGAAGGGGCCCCGACCGGTCTCCGGGTTGAGGCTTCGGGGCTTCGGGTTTTCAGGTGAAGCTTGGGGTTTTATAGGGTCCCGATAAATTCTATATAAGGTTTAAAATAAGGACATGCGAAAATATGGGTTTTGGTAGGTTAAGGTATAGTAAACCCCAAAAAGTTGGAAACCGGATGAAGGAGAAATAGTGCTGGGATTCCCTATGCATTACTCTTGTAAGGATTGAGGCTACCGGGTTTCCAACTTTTGCGCTTCTACCGTACAGGGTTTGGGGTTAGGGGTTAGGGTTGGGAATTTGGGGTTGTGGGGCTGTAGGGGTGCGCGGGTTAAGCGATGCTGCAACTGTTAGGCAGTGATTGCTCTTCATCTTTAAAAACTAGGTTTAGGGTTTAGGGGTTCAGGGTTTAGGGTTGATTTCATGACACCTTGCCGGATGTCCGTTTCAAGGCCTTGGCGGAGCAACAAAAGGCCGCAGAAGAGGCAGAGGAGGCAAAGTTGAAGGCCATTTCTGGACAATTGATGTTGGGGTGTTTTTACTGTAAAAAGTAAAAAAAATACTATTACAGTTTTGGGCCCGATTGGAGGCACATTCTGTAGTAAAACGGAATTATAGTTGTTCTCTCTAGCACACAAACGGTTTTTGAGCTTCAATAGTCTTCACTGCTGGGCTGTTTCAAGGACTTCGTTCTGGCGCCAGGTTTGCTTTGGGTAGGCGGGTAGGCTTCATGCGGCGAAGGTGTGACCCTAAACCCTTAAAAACCCTAAACCCTTATAAACCCTAAACCCTAAACCCTACAGTTGTTTGCTCTGCAAGGCTTTGGCCGAACAGCAGAAGGCGGCTGATGAAGCCGAAGAAGCCAAGCTGAAGGCACGTCTCGCGGTCTCAACACTTTGCTTCAGAAGACTCGTTTAACTTCGTCGTCGGGTGTGTGTAATCTAGGGGCCTCAATAATTACCTATACTATTTTGGGGACTCCTTATTATAGTTATAGTATAACATCCCCCAAAACCCTATTCTAATTATTGAGGCCCCTATATGATGCATGTGTGGGAAACAGCAAGTGCTTCAATAGATGAGAAACCACGTTTCAAAGACCAAAACATCGACCAGCTTAGCTGGGATTGCCTGCTAAAGAGCCAAAAAGTTGAAGCCATTCACCAAAAAGAGCGATATGTTTTTTGCGCTGCAGACTGCTCTTTCATGCGATGGCCGGCACCGATTGACAGTGGGCGGGGCAGCAGTGATGAACATTCAGCAGTTGTCGCTCTGCAAGGCTTTGGCCGAACAGCAGAAAGCAGCAGAAGAAGCAGAAGAGGCCAAGCTGAAGGCGTGTTTCAGGATGACAAGTGGTGACAACACCTGTTGTTGAGACTTGACTCGTTCAGACTTAATTAGACATCCATGGAGAACTCATCCTGTCTCCCAAGCCCGGCTCAAGGCGCGCGCAGAGCAGGAACGGTTCCTCCAAGAGGCCGAAGAGGCCAAGCAGAAGGCGGATCGCGACCTCTTGCCAGCGTGTTGCAAGCAAAATTGCTAGCTTAAGCCCGAAACTTCCTGAACCCTAAACCTTGCATTTGATGTTCATCGGAGGTGCTGGCGGAACAACAAAGGGCCGCTGAAGAGGCGGAGGAGGCTAAGTTGAAGGCTCTTGACGTTGCAGCGAAACTTTGCGCAGACGTCGCCAGTGTATTTTTTTTATGAAGTTGTGGGCAGTATGGTTTCAGCATCCCCCTTCGGAATAGCCTCTATGAAATGGCTATGTTGACACATCTATGAAATGGTTTTGGTCATTTCATAGAGGGTCATCTTATAGGGGGGAACCGGCCTGCCGATGTAGCCCGGACCATTTCATAGAGAATTGGCTCTGTAACATCATGCCGTCAGAGTCCGGATGCAGAACTAGCCCGGGCCATTTCATAGTATTCCTGGGGTCTGCGGAAGGGCGGTAGCTCGGGTCATTTTATAGGGCGAGGTTCCGGGGGGTTTCCGATTGGAAAGCCGGAAAGATTTGAACTGAACTGAGTCGGGTTCCTTGCGGGTCAGTTTATGACTAGTGTGTCCAACCGCTGTTAGTGTTCCTACTATCTGGATTTCGAGGGACATTTGAACGCCGTTCGTGCAAAATCTGCGATGCTGTTGCTGCGGAAGGCCTGCGAAATCTTCCGGTTTTCCCAAAGTTTTCTGGATTTCGCGCTTTCGTGTAATCGCCGTCAAGACCAAAACATAACTAAACCAACCTAAACCCTATCTACATCCTGTGTCCCGAGACCATGTCTGCACACACCGGCATGACTTGCGACAATGACTCCGCGAGAATCCAAGACCAGAAGTTACCCAGGCCATTTCATAGCAATCTCTCGCGTTGCGCGGCGAGGGTTACCCGGGCCATTCTATAGGGATGCATGGGTGTCTGTGAGCATCAACAGAGTCATCCAGCCAATGTAGCCCGGGCCATTTCATAGTAATCCCATGCCTGCATCGGGGGAACCCGCCCGCGATTCCGATGTAGCCCAGGCCATTTCATAGACCACTTTGTCTATAAAATGACTGTGCCAACTTGCCCCTGTATTTCGAAGGGGGATGTTTCGGCTGCAAGATTCTTGACAACTGGTTTGTTCTGCAGACTTCCAGACGCCCTTAGCTGGCTCTGGGTAGGCTTGTGATCAATCTTTTGGCACAACAGATTGCTTGCGAGGCTCTGGCCGAACAGCAAAAAGCGGCAGAAGAAGCCGAAGAAGCCAAGCTGAAGGCGAGTCAAACGGTCTCAACACTTGTGTTTTGGATTCCGGTTGTTTGATGTACATGTTTGTCTTTGTTCAAGATTTGGTGGAGACAGGTGTAGAACCCATTGCGTAGGTAACAGCCCATGCCTGATTCGCCGAGTGGTCAGGTTGCAAACGGCACGCTATCGACCACTAAGGCTGTTGTAAACATGCTAAAGGCCGTGCATAGGGCATGGGACACACTCATGGCATCGCAGCAGATCCCGTCCTCCATGCAGTGCCTCCAGGCGCGTGAAGAGCAAGAAAAGTTCCTCCGAGAGGCCGAAGAGGCCAAGCAGAAGGCGGATCCCGACCTTTTGCAAGCTGCTGCGTGCAGATTTTCAGTCTCCTTGTCTGATGTCTGTCGGAGGCTTTGGCGGAGCAACAAAAAGCCACAAAAGAAGCAGAGGAGGCCAAGTTAAAGGCCATTTCTGGACCCAGTTGGTACACCTGCTAACTTATGTACAGTTCTGTGCGCTCCATGCCGCCCCGATATCACGTCCACACTGGTTTCAGCTTCAGTGGTACTCAGTAGTCTTCACAACAGACTTCCCTCTGGCACCGATTGGCTTTGGAGGCTTCAGTCATGCATGTTATCTGTTGTCCACTCTGCGAGGCTTTGGCGGAGCAGCAGAAGGCGGCAGAAGAAGCCGAAGAAGCCAGACTGAAGGCGCGTCTCACAGTGCAACACCTGTTGTTTGGACTCGAGGATGTTGCTTTAGACTTACCCAGAGGGTCCAGGCACCCAAATAGTATATACTTTGGCCTTAAGGTGGTCCCTATATAGGTACTTTGGGGCCAAAGTATATGCTATTTAGTTACATGGACCCTCGGGGTTAGACTATGTATAGACTCCATTGACCTGTTGTTTCGTTGAGTGCATCGTCAAGTGCGTAGGTAGTGCAAGTGTTCCAACAGCCAAGAGATCACACTCGAAACGCCAAAACGTCTACCTTGTTGAAAGTTCGAGAATCGAGAAGTAAAAGCCATCATTAAAATAACGCAGATTCCAACATGGCTTTCATGCGTTGGCTGGCACCGGTTGGCTTCCGGTAGGCCACAGGGATGCATCTTTCGCAGCTGTCACTCTGCAAGGCTTTGACGGAACAGCAGAAGGCAGCCGAAGAAGCCGAAGAGGCCAAGCTGAAGGCGTGTCTCCCCATGTCAACACCTGTTGTTGAATCTCGTTTGCGTTCTCGCGATTCCAGATGTTTTAGGTTGCTGTAGACTGCCATGAAGGTGTTGTATCGTCGGCCATGTCACCGGGAGTGTTTCGAACAAATGCAACCCATGCTGCACGAATGCTTCATGTCATTCTAGCCCAGAGCTCATGTTTCCAACCAGAATATCTATACCAACGCACCTGCTTCTGTTCCAGGCCGTCTTAAGACACGCACCTGTGTATCGCAACCAAGTGCCGTGTGCCCAGCGTCGGCTCAAGGCGCGTGCAGAGCAAGAAAGGTTCCTCAAAGAGGCCGAAGAGGCCAAGCAGAAGGCCGAGGGTAGCCTGTTGATGCGTGTTGCAAGCAAAGTTGTTGGGCTGCCACAAAGTTGTGGGGAGTTTGTTTTCAGCGACCAGATTCTTGACAACTTGGCGATTCTGCAAACTTTCAGACACCCTTTGCTGTCCACTTGTTCACTCTGCAAGGCTTTGGCCGAACAGCAAAAGGCGGCAGAAGAAGCCGAAGAAGCAAAGCTGAAGGCAAGTCAAGCGGTCTCAACACTTGTGTTTTGGATTCCGGGTGTTTGATGTACATGTTTGTCTTCGCTCAAGATTTGGTGGAGACGGGTGTATCACCGAGTGCATAAGTAGCGGACCATTCCTGATTGGCCAAGAGGTCATGTTGCAAAAGGCAAGTTATTGGCCATACGTCGGGCATAGGACACACTCACGGCATAGGCATCGCAGCAGATCCCGTCCTCTATGCAGTGCCTCAAGGCGCGTGAAGAGCAAGAAAAGTTCCTCCGAGAGGCCGAAGAGGCCAAGCAGAAGGCGGATCCCGACCTTCTGCTGCGTGCAGATTGTTCAGTCTCTTTGCCTGATGTCCGTCGGAGGCTTTGGCGGAGCCGGATGAAAGTCAGTATGCAGTACTGCTGTTCAACCGTTCACTCGAACACTAGCGGATTGATTTTGACCGTGAGGTGGCACAGATTGGCTTTGGGTTGGCCAACCCTCGACCCTAAACCCTAAACCCACTGTTGTCCCCTCTGCGAGGCTTTCGCGGAACAGCTGAAGGCGGCAGAAGAAGCCGAAGAAGCCAGGTTGAAGGCGTGTCTAACGTTTGAACACCTGGCGTGTACCCATAGGCCCGATAGGAGTTCCTGTTTGGGGTTACCTTATAGGATTATATATATATATATATGAACCCCCAAAAAGGAACTACTCTAGGGCCTATGGGTAGACTCTCCGACTCGAAGATGTTGCTGTAGACATCTTGGCTTATGTAGAGTCCATGCAGCTGTTGTTTGGTTGACTGCAGTGCATCGTCAAGTGCGTAAGTAGCGCAAGTGTTCCAACAGCCGAGAGATCACACCCCAAGCGCAAAAACGTCGACCAACTGAGCTGTTTGCTGCTGAAAGATCGAAAAGTAAAAGCCATGCATAAGACGCGTTATTTGCAGCATGGCCTTCGTGCGATGGCTGGCACCGGTTGGCTTTCGCTAGGCCACAGGGATACATCTTTCGCAGTTGTCGCTCTGCCAGGCTTTGGCGGAACAGCAGAAGGCAGCCGAAGAAGCCGAAGAGGCCAAGCTGAAGGCGTGTCTCCCGATGTGAACACCTGTTGTTGAATTTCGTTTGCCTTTCCACTATTCCAGATGTGTTTGGTTGCTGTAGACTGCCATAAGGTGTTGCTTTGTCGGCAGTGTCACCGGTTGTGTATAGGAAAGAGCCCATGTTTCATGTCGCTGTAACCCAGAGCTTATGTTGCAACACAGAATATCCATCAACACATCTGCTTCCGACAAAGGACATTTTTAGGAAACGCATACTGTATCATCTGTATCGCAGCAGACGCCATCTTCCCATCGCCGGCTCAAGGCGCGCGCAGAGCAAGAAAGGTTCCTCCAAGAGGCCGAAGAGGCCAAGCAGAAGGCGGATGCTGGTCTGTTGCAAACGTGTTAAGTTGCTGGGATGCCGGATGGATTGCACTAGTTTGTGTTCGATGTCCGTTGGAGGCCCTGGCGGAGCAACACAAGGCCGCAGAAGAAGCGGAGGAGGCTAAGTTGAAGGCCGCTTCTGAACGTTTGACGTTACGACGAAACTTTGCACAGACATCGCCAGTGTGTGTTTTGACGAAATTGTAGGGAGTATATGGTTTCAGCGGCAAGATTCTTGACAACTGGGTTGTTCTGCAGACTTCCAGACGCCCTTAGCTGGCTTTGGGTAGGCCCCATGTGATCAACACTCGTTCGCTTTGCCAGGCTCTGGCCGAACAGCAAAAGGCGGCAGAAGAAGCTGAAGAAGCCAAGCTGAAGGCGAATCTCACGGTCTCAACACTTGTGCTTTAGATTCCGGGAAGTTGATATAAATAAATAAAAAAATAAATAAATATATATATATATATATATATTGTAGTCTCCGCTCAAGATTTGGTGGAGTCGGGTGTATCATCGAGTGCATAGGGAGCATCCCTAGCTGGCTCAAGGCGCGTGAAGAGCAAGAAAAGTTCCTCCGAGAGGCCGAAGAGGCCAAGCAGAAGGCGGATCCCGACCTTCTGCAAGCTGCTGCGTGCAGATTCTCAGTCTCCTTGCCTGATGTCTGTCGGAGGCTTTGGCGGAGCAGCAAAAAGCCACAAAAGAAGCAGAGGAGGCGAAGTTAAAGGCCATTTCTGGACCCAGTTGGTACACATGCTAACTTACTTTGCAGTTCTGTGCGCTTCATGCCGCCCCGATGTCACGGCCACACTGGTTTTCTTCACAATAGACTTCCCTCTGGCACCGATTGGCTTTGGAGGCTTCAGTCATGCATGTTATCTGTTGTCCACTATGCGAGGCTTTGGCCCAGCAGCAGAAGGCGGCAGAAGAAGCCGAAGAAGCCAGACTGAAGGCGCGTCTCGCGGTGTAACACCTGTTGTTTAGATTCGAGGATGTTGCTTTAGACTTAGATTATGTATGGACTCCATCTAACTGTTGCTATGTTGACTGCATCGTCTGGTGTGTAGGCAGCAGCAACATAAATCTACCGACTGAGCTGTTCACTGCTGACTGATCGAAGAGCAAAACCCGCCATGGATAAGAAGCGTTATTTGCAACATGGCTTACGGTAGGCCACAGGGATGCATCTTTCGCAGCTGTCACTCTGCAAGGCTTTGGCGGAACAGCAGAAGGCAGCCGAAGAAGCCGAAGAGGCCAAGCTGAAGGCGTGTCTCCGGATGTCAACACCTGTTGTTGAATCTCGTTTGCCCGTCAATGATTCCAGATGTTTCAGGTATTGGTAGACTGCCATGAAGGTGTTGCTTCGTCGGCCATGTCACCGGGAGTGTTTCGAACAAATGCAACCCGTGCTGCACCCATGCTTCATGTCATTATAGCCCAGAGCTCATGATTCCAACCAGCATATCTATACCAACGCACCTGCTTCTATACAGGCCGTCTTAAGACACGCACCTGTGTATCGTAACAAGTGCCGTGTGCCCTGCGCCGGCTCAAGGCGCGTGCAGAGCAAGAAAGGTTCCTCCAAGAGGCCGAAGAGGCCAAGCAGAAGGCCGAGAGTAGCCTGTTGATGCGTGTTGCAAGCAAAGTTGTTGGGCTGCCACAAAGTTGCGGGGAGTTTGGTTTCAGCGACCAGATTCTTGACAACTTGGCGATTTTGCAGACTTCCAGACACTCTTAGTTGTCCGCATGTGATCAGGCTTTTAGCACTTGTTCACTCTGCAAGGCTTTGGCCGAACAGCAAAAGGCGGCAGAAGAAGCCGAAGAAGCAAAGCTGAAGGCGAGTTAAACGGTCTCAACCCTTGTGCTTTAGATTCCGGGAAGTTGATTTACATTTTAGTCTTCGCTCAAGATTTGGTGGAGTCGGGTGTATCATCGAGTGCATAGGGAACATCCCTAGCTGGTTCAAGGCGCGTGAAGAGCAAGAAAAGTTCCTCCGAGAGGCCGAAGAGGCCAAGCAGAAGGCGGATCCCGACCTTCTGCAAGCTGCTGCGTGCAGATTTTCAGTCTCCTTGCCTGATGTCTGTCGGAGGCTTTGGCGGAGCAGCAAAAAGCCGCGGAAGAAGCAGAAGAGGCCAAGTGGAAGGCTGGAGAGTCTGAAGTCCAGCGCGACCCATGGTCCCTAGATCCTGTAGATTCCACGCAGATGAGAGTGATGAGTGAATCTTGTAGTCTATATTCAGCATATTATTAAGTAGAATAATATGTAGAATAATAGTAGTCTTAGTCTGATGCAGGTGTAGTGATTTTGATGGCTTTCTGCTGACATAGTCTTCGCAGCTAGACTGTTTCACACACACTTCCTTGTATCACCGGTTGGCTTTGGTAGCTTTTGTCCACTCTGCGAGGCTTTGGCCCAGCAGCAGAAGGCGGCAGAAGAAGCCGAAGAAGCCAGACTGAAGGCGCGTCTCGCGGTGTAACACCTGTTGTTTAGATTCGAGGATGTTGCTTTAGACTTAGATTATGTATAGACTCCATCTAGCTGATGCTATGTTGACTGCATCGTCTGGTGTGTAGACAGCAGCAACATAAATCTACCGACTGAGCTGTTCACCGCTGACTGATCTAAGAGCAAAACAAGCCATGCATAAGAAGCGTTATTTGCAACATGGCTTACGGTAGGCCACAGCATCTTTCGCAACTATCGCTCTGCCAGGCTTTGGCGGAACAGCAGAAGGCAGCCGAAGAAGCCGAAGAGGCCAAGCTGAAGGCGTGTCTCCCGATGTCAACACTTGTTGTTGAATCTCGTTTGCCTTTCCATGATTCCAGATTAGGTATTTGTAGACTGCCATGAAGGTGTTGCTTCGTCGGCCATGTCACCGGGAGTGTTTCGAACAAATGCAACCCTTGCTAACCCATGCTTCAGGTCATTATAGCCCAGAACTCATGTTTCCGACCAGAATATCTATACCAACGCACCTGCTTCTGTTACAGGCCGTCTTAAGACACGCACCAGTGTATCGCAACCAATGCCGTGTGCCCAGCGCCGGTTCAAGGCGCGTGCAGAGCAAGAAAGGTTCCTCCAAGAGGCCGAAGTGGCCAAGCAGAAGGCCGAGAGTAGCCTGTTGATGCGTGTTGCAAGCAAAGTTGTTGAACTGCCACAAAGTTGTGGGGAGTTTGGTTTCAGCGACCAGATTCTTGACAACTTGGCGATTCTGCGGACTTCCAGACACTCTTAATTGTCCGCATGTGATCAAGCTTTTAGCACTAGTTCACTCTGCAAGGCTCTGGCCGAACAGCAAAAGGCGGCAGAAGAAGCCGAAGAAGCAAAGCTGAAGGCGAGTCAAACGGTCTCAACCCTTGTGCTTTAGATTCCGTTCTGAACTTGGTAGTAGAGGCTTCGCTTCATGTACGGGTCGAAATCATGACCCATATGGTTCCTCAGGGCTCCATATTACTAGTATAGTATAAAGCCTAGTCTAATCATTAAGGCCCCTATAGTGGGCTTTGTTTGTCATCGTCCCTGCCCCAATTGCCTGTTGTTCAGGTGCAGACGCAACTCCAATGTTGCATCCGGTTTCATTTACTCCTGCTTGCAATCAATGCAATGTCTCTGAATACTGTGCATCAACGGTTCGCCTGGAATCTGAGAGAATTCGTTGTTTCAGTATGGACTGGCTCATACCAAAAACCCCCTCGGTACCACACAAAACCTATAATCAGTGACCTGCACCTGAAGCCTAATATAGGGCTCTGTTCGATACCGACCGAAACGCCAGGTCACACTGGCACCCTAAACCCTAAACCCTAAACCCCTAAACCCCTAAACCCTAAAACCCCTAAACCCTACACCCTAAACTCCCAGGCCCCTAAACCCTAAACCCCCTAAACCCCCTAAACCCTAAACCCCCTAAACCCTAAACCCCCTAAACCCTACACCCCCAGGCCCATGCTTTGACAAGTAAAGAGGGACCTTGCAATGCAAGGCGTTGGCTGAACAGCAGAAAGCTGCAGAGGAAGCCGAAGAAGCCAAGCAAAAGGCGATTCTCTCGGAGTCAACCCTAAGGGTCCCAGTACCTAATAACCATATACTCTCCCAAATAGTAACCTATACATAACTACTATCCGAAGCCTGAGTACCTGATTATTGGGTCCTTTTGGGCCCTTGGGGCAACATCTGTGCTGCGTATCGTCGGGTGTGTAGGAAGCAGCAGTGCTTGACTGTTTGCTGCTGACAGCCATGCCCCCAAGGGTCCACAGGACCCAATAATGAGGTACTTAGGTTTCGGATAGTAGTTATGTAGGTTACTATTTGGGAGAGTATATGATTATTAGGTACTTGGACCCTTAGGGTGCATGCGAAGCACGAGTGTTGCATCAAAGCAGATCCCGTCTTCCATGCGATGGCTCAAGGCACGCGAGGAGCAGGAGAGGTTCCTCCAAGATGCCGAAGAGGCCAAGCAGAAGGCGGATCCCGACCTGTTGCAAGCGTGTTGGTTTAGGGTTCAGGGTTCAGGGTTGTAGGGTTTCGGGTTTGGGGCTCTTGCTCGGATGCCAGATGGAGCGCATGTTGTCAATTGATGTTTGATGGAGGCCTTGGCGGAACGACAAAAGGCCACGGAAGCAGCAGAGGAGGCAAAGTTGAAGGCCAGGTTGATCAGTTTGGGGCAGCCTTTCAAAAGTGTGCATCAGGTTGCAATAAATGCCTAAATTGGTCAAGTCGCTCGCGGTCTTTGCGGCCTCAAGAACCTTGAGAAAAAAGCAGCTGTGATCTTCCTCTGGCTGCTTGTGATCAATGCTGAGTAATGTAGGGGCCCTAAAATTAGAACAGGCTTTTGGGTTTTTTTTATGCTGTATAATTACAATAAGGAACCCGCCAAAATAGAGGTCATATTTAGGCCCCTGCATTAGATCTCCGCTCTGCGAGGCGTTGGCCGAGCAGCAGAAGGCGGCTGAAGAAGCCGAAGAAGCCAAGCTCAAGGCCCCCGAGGGTCCAACCCTAACCCCCCAGGTACCTACTATATAGGGCCTTAGGGGCTGTAGTACCCTATATAGTAGGTACCTGCGGTTGTGAGTCGGGGAGGTGTTGTTTGACGTTGCAGTCTCTCGCGAAGATGCTGTTTCGTCGGTTTTATGAGTTACCGAGTGCGTTGGTGACAGTAACAGTCTTCGCCTCATTAACCGAGAGGTCGTTCATTGCGAAAGCCATGAGTCAATGGTAAAGGCCACATAGGAAACCGTAGCTCCATCGCAGCTTGGGGTATTTTATACATTATAATTTACAAGTCTAATACGGAACCCCCCCCCAAAATAGTATAGGTAATTAGGCCCTACATCAGATTTCCATGTGATGGCTCCAGGCACGCGAAGAGCAAGCGAGGTTTCTCCAAGAGGCGGAAGAGGCAAAGCAGAAGGCGGCCGCCACCTTTTTGGTTGCAAGCTTCCCTGCATAATATAGGGGCCTCAATTAATGGGCCCCAAAACCCTATTCTAATTGAGAAGGCTCCAACATTAATCTTGCGAGGAGTCTAGATTCTGGATGGTTTGATTTCATTGCCATCCTTTTTTGCCTGATGGCCGTTGGAGGCCCTGGCGGAGCAACAAAAAGCTGCCGAGGAAGCGGAGGAAGCAAAGTTGAAGGCCATGTCTTCAAATCTGCTGTACCCTAAGGGTCCATGTGCCCAAATAGTAGATACTTTGGCCTTAAAGTAGTCCCTATATGGGTACTTTTGGGCCAAAGTATCTACTATTTGTGTACATGGACCCTTAGGGGTAGGCATCTGCTAAACCTGTGCGTGATCCCTCCCTGGCGGCATTGCCCCCTCATTCCGGTAAGATGAAACTGTACTGTTTCCTTCTTTCTCGGATGCAAGAATCTTACAAACTTGGCTTTTGGTGTTTAGTGTGTTTCCATGTGGCAATTATTTAGTGATCATTTGCAATTGCCCGGTCTGCAAGGCTTTGGCAGAACAGCAGAAGGCTGCGGAAGAAGCCGAAGAAGCAAAGCTGAAGGCTCGTTCAACATTCGAACTCCTTTTGCTTCTGGCTTTGGGACGTGAGTTGACAACGTCTTTGGATACAACAACGCGAACTAAATACCCTCACCTCTGATTAAGCCCCGGTCCCTGAAGTGTATCAGGCAGTTTGGGACCCTGGTGTAGCACCCTTTCCCTTATACGAGCCTGAATGCCAGGACTTCTGAGCAACAAGCTCCCGAATTCTCGGAAACTCCAGATACCCTGAAGATTCTTAGACATCCTTGAACCATCCTCAACCCCCAAACCCTCATGTAGGGGCCTAACTGATTACCAGTACTATTTTTGGGGGTTCCTTATTGTAAGAATAGCATAATGGGCCCCAAAACCGTATTCTAATTGTTAAGGCCCTTATATGAAGCAAAAATGCCATTTAATCCCCAAACAATCCCGGAACCATCCTTAACCCCCAAACCCTAAGCAAAAAATCCCACCTAATCCCCAAACAGCAGCGCGCGACCTTTCATTCTCCAGAGTCGTGAAGGAAGCAAGGCAGGTTTCACGAGCCGACGCCTGGCTGGCCGAGATTAGGGTTTAGGGCTTAGGGTTCTAAATTACGGTCCCTTTGAGGGTCCTGCTTATCAGGGTGCCATACTATTCTGGGACCAGCAGAAGGGACCCAGAACTTAGAGAACTGCTCACAATCTTAGTTCCCCAATACCCAAGCTTTGAACTTTTGGGGGTCTTATAATTTAGTAGTAATCTGAAAGTTTAACCTTTCATTTCCCTGGCCTATTGGCGAAGTAAGTTATGAATCTTTGAAGTAGCATAGCGAGGTTTATTGCGTCCAGAGATCTGATGACTGGGTTTGGCTTCTGGCATCGTTTAGCAGGTGTACTGGATCTTACAGGGTGTTGTGCGGGTTTAGGAATACCTGATTTGTAGTCGCTAAACAAATCCACCTAAACTGCCCTAAACCCTTAAATCCCTAAACCCCTAAACCCTCCCAAACCCTAAACCCCAAACCCTAAACTGCCCTGAACCCCTAAATCCCTAAACCCCTTAGGTCCCATCCCACGTTCAATGTTCGGGCCTTGGTGCAATGTTCACAGGGCTTCTTGGGAATCTTGGTGACGCCATCCTCGAGGTGTTTCATGTCTGTGGATACCCTACAGGGTTTACGGTTTAGGGTTTAAGGCTTTAGGGGATTAGGGTTTAGGGGTTTCGGGTTTATGGTTTAGGGGTTTAGGGTTTAGGCATATTACAGGGCCTAATAATTACCTATACTGTACTATTTTGGGGGCTCCAAATTATAATTGTAGTATAATATAGCCCAAAGTGCTATTCTAATTATTAAGGCCCCTATATTATCCTACTTCATGTATGGGTGTAGCTTGACAGAGTTGGTGCGTGGTTTTGGGATCTCGCAAGTCTGATTTTTTCATCACCCCCCAAGCTGTATACCCGATGGCCCGAAGCCGCTGTGACTAAAGTAGGGCCACTGTAGGGTTCGGGGTTCAGGGTTTAGGACTAGCCCTAATAAGGGTCCAAGTACCTAATAGTCATATACTCTCCCAAATAGTAACCTACATAACTACTATCCGAAACCTACGTACGTGATTATTGGGTCCTTTGGACCCTTGGGGTCAGGGTTTAGGACTATTTAGGGTTTAGACCCCTAAACCCCCAAACCCGAAACCCTAAACCCTAAACCTGGACTAGGGGCTTTTTCATGCTTGATCTTGGACGCGAGGCCCGAGAAGAGCAAGAGAAGCTGCTCCAAGAGACCGAAGAGGCTAAGCACAAGGCAGCCACGTCGGATGAGGGGTTTAGGGGTTAGGGGTTAAGGGTTTAGGGTTTAGGGTTCTATGGCGCGGAGGCTTTAGAAGCTGCATGATTACAAGTATACTGGGATATTCTCCTAACCCTATTCGAACTATTATGGCCTCTACGGTACGCCGCATGGGTGTGTAGTTGTTAGGTAAGTCGTAGTTTGCGGTTAACAGAATACAGTATATGTTTGTCTGTTAGCTTTATTTACCTTATTAGTTTTGTTGTACTTGCTTTAAGCTGGTGGCATAGTTGTACAACTACTTCTTTGTCAGAAGAAGGTTGGAGTTTCGCTTCATGTCTTAAAGGCTTACAGGGTTTAGCTCCAGGTTTGGGGTGAACGGTGCTGGCAGGAGATGATCACAGTTGTAGTCGTCCTCCGTCTTCCTTTGTGAACCTTGAAGGTTTCGAGGCTCATTATTTAGGTCATGGGCCCTGATGGTCGTGTAGAAGCCCGTGCAATTACGAATGCTATTCTAAGGGTTCTTTGGTATAGGTATCTCATAGCATACCCCACGTGCCGACGCCACGTCTTGACGATTATGGCACCTAAATTAGGAGCTAATGGCGGCCCTAAACTGTGGCATTGGTAGCTGCTGGGGGTTTACAGGGTCGGGTTTCGGGTTTAGGGTTTAATTGATCTGCTGGTCACACGGAGAGCTGACGCCCCGTGCTCCAAGATGCGAAGCTTCGACTCAGGTTTGTTGGTCAATCTTTATTAACTCCTTGGTTTTATATAATGCTACTGGCCTCAATAGCTTTGGGCTGTATGATACCATAGTCAATTATATGTAGACCCCAAAACCCCCTAAACCCCTTAACCCTAAACCCAAGCCCCTATTGAGGTCTTTGCAAAGCTTGAGTTTTGGATGCGAGGCCCGCGAAGAGCAAGAGAAGCTCCTCCAAGAGACCGCAGAGGCTAAGCACAAGGCAGACCAGTCGGATGGGGGGGTTTAGGGTTTAGGGGTTAGGGATTTAGGGGTTTAGGGGTTTAGGGTTTAGAGGGTGTAGGTTTTGTGGCCTCGGGGTTTGGGTGTTGGGTTTTCGTGTAAACCCTAAGCCCTAAACCCCTAAACCTAAACTCTAAACGCTAAACCCTAAAACCCAGAGACTCTAGCAGGATGGAAAAAGGGTCGCTCAAAAAAGAGAACCTAAAACCCTAATTTGTGGGTTTGTTGGGTTTAGGGCTCAGGACTTCCGAGCATTTGGGTCTCGAGGGGGTTTAGGGCTTAGGGCTTTGGGTTTAGGGTTTAGGGTTTTGGGGGTTTGGGGCTTAGGGGTTTAGGGGTTTAGGGTTTAGGGGTGTAGGGTTTAGGGGTTGAGGGTTTAGGGCTTATAGAGGTTAAGGGTTTAGGGTTTAGGGTGTGCGGTTTTGGGTTTTGGACTCTACCAATAGTCTCCGTTGTAGTTCCTCTTTGGGGTTACTTTATAGGATCCTTAATGTAGACTTGGCTACACCAAAAACATAGGAACTACAATGGAGACTATGGGCCCCTTCATTATGCAGTGCACATGAGACCATCACCTGGATATAAAAAAGTAGGCACCCTAAAGAAGGGGTAGGGTTTAGGGTTTAGGGTTTAGGGTTTAGGGTTTAGGTTAGGGTATGACCCTATAGGTACTGTAGGGTACTGGACTGGCAGAACGACGGAGGCAAAGCCTGTCTCAGATCAGTGCATCATTTGCATCGCTGGGGATCGTTCTTCCGTTGACCTGGACTTAAACACCAAAACCCCAAAACCCTAAACCCCTAAACCCTAAACCCTAACTTAAACACCAAAAAACCCAACACCCTAAACCCAGGCTGCAGCTGAGCAGCAGAAGGCTGCAGAAGAAGCAGAAGCAGCCAAGTTGAAGGCCCCCACTTCGAACTATTAAAATAATAGTAATAATCACAAAGTAATACTACTACTACTGATAATGATAACATAATAGTCATAATAACAAAGTAATAATACTAATAAGAATAATAACAGTAAGAATAGCCATAACAATACTACTACTTTCCTGGTTTTCCTGCGAGTTGAACCCCCTTTCTTTGAGGGGCGCTTGCAGTAGTAGACCCCGGCTTACTATCCTTGACGGAGGCTTGCACGATTCAGGGGTCCACAGCAGTCCGGCTCCGGTTGTTGCTGTTGCTCTTGCACTTGTTCTTGCTCTTGCTGCGGCTGCAGCTGCTGTTGCTACTTGTAGTTGTCGAGCATGATCAGAACTATACTGTATTGCGAAAGTTTATATGACTCGGATTACTAGTTTCACTACCTTTGCTATGGTGACTTTGCTGTTTATGTCTATCATTAATCTTATTGCTGGTAACCCTAAACCCTAAACCCCTAAACCCGTAAACCCTAATCCCTTGCCTTAAAGCCTTTTCCGTTTCCCTAGCTCCAACTCCCAGACCCTACATCCTCACCCTAAGCCCTAGAAGCCCCAACCCCAAACCCCCAAACCCTAAA